AGATGATCGCATATACACTATCCATGCTACCAAGTGTGCCCTATAGCCCCAAAGCTGCTCCTTTGTACTGTAACTTTCAGGTCCGCTACACTGGACCAGGAAACCCATTAAACAGCGTTCCAGTTAAGTCTGAAGCCAACTGTCAGCATAAAAACAGGCTTTGTGCCAGCCACTAACAAAGCATAGCAGTGCTTTGTGCGTTCTGTCAAAACTTGGCAAGAAGGCTTCAGGAAGTAATCAAAATTGGAAGGTCTGCAGCCACTTAGCCTGTGTGTATTACAGCATGTCTTTGTTTCTGTGTCACTTGTAAATTGAAACTGATCAGGGATTGAAAGGACTGTTGGGTAGAGTGGTGGACAGTTGAGGGAACGATTTTTGGTCAGTCTGCACTCCTTGGACACAAGCAAATCTAGATTATTGTTGGTCCTGATATGTGATTAAAGAACCTTACAACCTAGTTTTCAGCCCCAAAGAGCTGACAGTGTCTTATCTTGCCGTGCCACTCTAGACTTGGGCTGTAGCCTCACCTGGCTCCTTCAGTGGAGCTATGAAGTTTGGGTGCACTTCCTGCATAGTTCAGTCTCATCTAGGGCAGACCTGTGACAGCTGTTGCTCTTAACTTCCTCTCTACTGCAAAATATACTTAGTTCTGTGTGGGCCCCACCTTGGCCCATGGCTCCTTCAGCAGATCTGAACGTTCTTTCTCCAGGCCGTGGCACTTGTTAAGTAACCAAAGCTTAAAATTGGTTTGCTGGTCCAACCTGGATAGTTCAAGGTTTAAATTGAGTTCTTGGGAGACAGCCATTTGTAACACCCCCGGACCATGCTTACTGGGTCGTAGAATCCAAGCCCTCCATGCCCCTCAGAAAAACAGTGAACACATATCTCCAGTGTTTCTTGATGAATTATATATACATAAATAAAAGTTAAACATGTTTTTCCCCCTGAACTCATAAATCTTGCCCATGTTATCCTCTAGACTGAGGTCTTATTCCTAAAAACAAATTCCATACATTTACAGGTCTTCAATGGTTGTTGAAAGGCTAATAAACATTTACTGCAAAGAGAAATTTATAATAAGAGAAAGGCTGTGTTGGAGCTGAGAATTGAGAGACCTTCATTCTAACCCTTGGTCTGCTATTAACTGGCTGGGAGCCTTAGGTTATTCACCTCATTACCTCTTGTCCTCAGTTTCCTTATAAAATGAGCCAGTGGATCAGGCCTTTTAAGGTCTAATCCAGCACTACATAGTCTATGAATTGCTGTTTATTCTTACCTCATATGTGTACTTATCTGCACTGAATCATTCTGTCACCCAAGAACAGAAATGTCTTTTTCTAGTGGTTGAAATATGGTTCTCAAGTAAGTACCTAATTTGGGGAGCAGTCTAGGTCAGTGGTGGTGAACTGATGGCACGAGTGCTGCAGTGGGCTGTATCACTGAAAGCTCTAAAAGGTTTGCCATCACTGTTCTAGGACCTCCCCAGAGCACCAGAGATACTCAGCAGAAATGGCTCAGCCAGTTGTCTTCCTTCTGATAATCTCCCCTTGGAAGCTAGCTGCACAGCTAACTCTAACCTTTTGGATCCCAGACCTCTGTGGGTCACAGCATTTGCCTCCTTGGGATGCCTGGCTCATCTGCCACTGCCCCTGGCTGGCACTGCACTTCTTTATGGAGCTTGAGGCCCAGAGGAAAAGGAGATGATGGATCTCCTCTTTTTGTACTCAGCATATCCTTTTTGGATACCTTTACCATATATTCCTTGTTTTCAAATCTGCACCTTATTGAAATGAACAATCCTTTTACCCCTCCAGTTTCATTTGTTCCTTCTTTCCACAATCCATCCACTCACCCCCACACCCATGCTACCTTTTTACCACCTCACACCTTTTTAAATATACAGATCTGACTTTAGGTGCACTCAAAAGCTACTACCTAGCATGTATTTGTAGCTGCCTTAATAACTCCTGAGATTTGTGTATGTTAACACGTTAATTATACAAATTAATGGGATTCATTGTGGCATTTCCGTAAATTATGTGGTATGTCCATCCACCCTTCTTCCATCTCCTTTCCATTTCTCCTCTTTCCACAACCCCATTCTCAGTCCCTCTAGTGTCAGTTCCTTTTATTTTCCACGATACTTCTCTGTATCTGGCTTACATCCTCAAAGCATCTTAAAGTACATCATCTTGCTCTTCCCTAAACAAACCTGTGATGTAACCATGATAGGTGGCTCTTATTTTAGAACATTAGACACACTAAAATGACTTGCTCAAGATAACAATGTCCAAATGGGAAAGCCAGAAAACCTTCAGTGTTATTCTTTCTCAGTATGTTGAATATATGGTAACCCAGCACATTTAGAAACTCACTAAGAAACAACACATCTATTGGATTGTGGGAATTAAGTCCATCACTGACTATAAATTAAATTATTTTGAGAATGGAGAATAAACAAAAAGCTTTGTAAATCTTAAATGTGATTTACTCTATTAGTGTACCTTATTCAAATACTCCTGATTTCAAAGCCAATTTCCTCTTAATTTGGATAAATTTCTAAAAAGCTTGGATATAACAAAAACGATGAAATCCAGATGTCCTGTTTACTGCTGTATCCCCAATCCTGGAACACTGCCTAGCATGTATTAGATGCTAAATATTTACTGCATTGATCACGGGGCTCAGTAGCAGAGCACTTGCCTAGCAGGTATAAGGCCCTGCCTGGGTTTGATCCCCAGCACCACCATGAAGAAAAACAAAAAATTTACTAATTTTGAGTACTGGCTTGGACTTTGACTAAACCTTGACTTTGCTGCCATGCAGATTCTCTGCTGCTGGATCTAACCACCATTAAGAGTCCCAATTCTAAGAACAGAAATGCAATAACTACAGTAAACTGATTGGAGTGAATCCAAAGCTTGCTGTGATTTGCAGCCTCAGTGGTCATTTTGTGGCAGGCAGCTCACAAAACAGTGACAGCAGTATTGAGACATACCTGCAAGTCTGAGATAAAATGCTATCTTTGGGCTTCATGGTGGTGTTTCCTAAGTTCCTTGTTTCATTTCTCTAAGCTGCAATATAGGAAGGCACGTAAGGCATCAAATGGTGGTCAAATTTTTTCGTTGACTTTCCAGTATCTAGTGGAATTTCATGAGAAACAGAAGTATTTGGGGAGCCCGGGGATTTAGCTCTGTGGTTTCATTGCCTACTGTAAAAGCGCAAGGACCCGAGTTCAATCCCTGGTACCAAAAAACAAAACAAAACAAGTATTTGGGATCTCATGAAGCCAATATTGAAAGGTAGGGTAGGCCCACACCATAAAAGTGTTACTCTCCAAGCATGTTAGCTCTTTCTAGTTTACCAAATGCTGTATCCTACAAATTAAATAGGGATTAAAAAGAAGCAGAATGGAGAAACCGTTTACTTACTAGTCACTCAGTAGACCTAAAACCCTGGCCTGTTTCTTCGTCTGTAAAATATGGGTGGTTCTGACAACACCTACCATCACAGAAGTCAGAAAAGGCATGTAGAGTACTATCTGGTACAACACAAGAGATCCTCATTCAGCACCTCATAAAAGTGTGTAGTAGGAAAATTCTGGCTGGGCATCTTTTAACAACTTTAAAGATATTTGAGTTTTATAATTATATCCCAAACTGAAAGAATTCTATGGAAGAGAAGAAAAAGACTGAAAAGGCCAAAATAGCTTAACTTTGTGTAAGGCTATTAGAAATATACAGATGTGAGGGCTGGGAATTTAGCTCAGTGGTGCCGCCGCCTGCCTCGCAAGCACAAGGTCCTGTGTTCCATCACCGGTACCAAAAAACAAAACAAAACAAAAATATGCAGATGTGGAATGTTCACAGAAAATTTGCTTTAGTATATGCAAATGATAAGTCATGTTGCAATCAAGCTCCAACAATGGCAAAAAAAATTAGAATATACTATAAAAGCAACCCAGTCTGAAATTGGTATAACTATTAGGTTATATTCCAAAGTTGAGCCTTTGGTAAAAATCAGAATTGTTAAAACTGCTCTTTAAAACTCACAAGGAAGGTCATATACTCCTTTCTCTGTCAAATGCAGCACATTAGCCACGTTCCCCCTGTAGCATTTCAGACTGAGTAGTTGGCTTGTATTTATGGGTCATTTTTTAAGATGCATCTGTGAACACTAGGAAAGAAATATGCTCAGTATCTTCCAATACAGCCCTGGAGGGACCCCAATGAGTGACTCCACATCTACACTTCCCTTCTGAAGGTTGTTCAGGGCATAAATTCCCTGATTGCAACAAGTGTAGCTGACCATGTTATTTACATAAATCAAATTATTTGTGGCTAAGTTCAGGCAGTTGAGTTACAAATTAAATGCCTATGATTCAGACATTGTGGCTTCATTTTAGAAATATTCAATCCATGGCTTCATTCTCTAGCAATTTTATGAAACTTCTAAAACGATCCACAGAAATAAAAATTTAAATTTATCCAACTACATGTGTATGTATATTATATATATACATATATATCCCATGTACTTGATATAGCCTATCCTGTTCTGTTTTTTAAAAGATTTAGGTTGTGCTGGCATATACCTGTAATCCTAGCTACTAAGGAGGCTGAGGTGGTAGGATTATGAGTTTGAAGCTAGACTGGGCAATTTAGTGGGACTCTGTCGCAAAGAAAAAGAAGAAAAAAAAAAGAACTAGGGCTGTTGTTCAGTGGTAGATCATTTGTCTGGCATGCATGAGGCCCTAGGTTCAACGCCCAGCAACACAAGAAGAAAAAGAAAAAGAAAAAAAGAGAAAGAGAAAGGAAAAAAAGAAGAGAAAACGAAAGAAAGAAAGAGGTTGCAACTCACAAATAATTTTGATTCTTAGACAGTTACAACCTACACTTTGAAGAACACTTTCAGTTGGTATTTCAAGAAAGCTTTTAACTACCCCGAGAATTATGTACGCTACCATCTTGGAGTTAAGGAAAACAAATCAAACAAGCACATTTGTCCATAACATTTTAATACTTTTCCACTTTTAAATACTGGTTTAAATTTTTTGATTGTAACATGGAAGGTCCAACTTTATTATTTTTAAAAAACATCATCAGAATCATAAAGCTATTATAGTTACACTCTACACACTCCCAAGGTACTTTAAAATGATTATGTTTTGAGACTGTAGATGAACAATGACAGTAAGCCAAATACACCATCTGTACAACCTGGACTAAATACTGGTGAAGTGTTTTAGCTGGACAAACAACCGATAAGCTTAAAGATAACCAGCACAATTTCACAGGAGAACCAGCTTGGCCCAACTAAAAATGTCTTTTTATAGCAACTGACACTGATGTACAGTTGGTACAAATTAGCTGATGAAACTGAACAAATGGGAAGTCCATTCTTCCTCTTCCTCATTTTGCTTTCTTACCTCTCTCCTTACCCTTTCCTCCCTTCCTCTCCTTGGTCTGGCTGCCCTGTAACAATCTCAAACCAACTGCTGCTCCTTCTCTACCAAAAAATCAGGAGTCCTGAATTCCAAGTGAAACACTGCTCTCTTATCCTGCACAGTAAGCACTCAGGGACAAAAACCTCAGATCACCAATATTTTTCAGGTTTCGAACAGCACAAAGAAGTGACTGAGTAGAAAATAGAGTAAAAGGATAATTTTTCTTTTGCTTAGGGGAATAAAATTATCTGTGGATGAGAAAAATGTTAATATTCGGCATGTAGGAATTAGTCAAATGAAAATAATTTTAGGTGGTTGAAATACTATCTTAAGGCCAATACCCTTTTAAATGTTGACCTCTTCTGAAACATTTCCATTTTCCTGGACTCATTTCTAAATCTGATTGGGCAGGCAGGATATACTCCAGTAAAGTACCAGTACAGTTATCTAAAGGTAACATGTATCTTTTCATTCTTTTTAAATACAAATATTTTTAATGTAATCATTTTATTTACAGAATTGCAAAAAGTATGTATCATCACCTTTAGTGCAAATGCAACTAATGATAATTAGATTTAGATACTGCTTTGTAAACTTTCTATACCTTTGTAAAATATAGTTATCCGATTTAGTTATGAAAGAGTTACTTGTCCGTATTCATGTTACCAGACATGGCAAACAGAAACACAGTGGGCAAGGAGAATTACATTGAAGATTCCCTTCAGTGCTTATGAGTGAATGAACCTCCCTCCCAAACCCTCCCATTTTCCCATCCCAATCCCACAGCTGATTGTAAAATAAAATACACATTTGAGGTATAAACTTTTTTTTTAAACATCACAATATAAAATGTTAACTGGTGAAGTAGTAAACTGGTATGATAATTTGTCTTATTTGCCTTGCTAGCATTACCACCATGTAGGCACTTTTCCACATAGATTATGAACAGCATTTCTCTGTAATAAGGCATATTCCATGCACATCATTTAGAGAAAGGTAAATTTAAAAATAGAAAAGATTTATGGAGCATGAAATCTGCGTGCATGTAAAGTAAGCATATGTTTTATATGTATTTTTCTCTCTGTACAGAATTAATAAATATCACTATATCTGATGCAAGTAATTCACTTCCAGGATTCTGCATATTAAGTGATCAGGCTAATCCCATCATTAAATTATCACCTTGCATTTATCATTAAGACTCCATTACCATGTAGCCAAATAGAATACATACAGGATATGTTCTATGTGACATGATTTTCTGCTTTACAAAATGGGTCTGGTTTCTGTGTTTCCAAAGAGATTAACAAGTAAGCAAAGCATCTACAAAGTGCCTCTGACTTATATAAATACATCTGTGTGTAAACACAATGAAGATTTGAAGTGGGCAGTCATTTTGACTTCAATGAGTACCATTCCTTGCCTCAACTCCATGCTTCAAGGTTTTTTACAGAGGACTAAAACTAAAGAAGGCATTTTACACGTTAAGTTCTTATAGCAACTAAGCAAAGTATCAATTTGAGTAAGTGGAGTCCTTTGCTATGTTGCTGAAATCTGTGATCAAGAGGCAAATAGGAACAATTGCTCAGATTTTGTGTATACCTTGCAACATATCTTTTAAACTGACCCAAACTAGGGTGAGCAAATATATCTGTTACAGAATACTAGATATTTATATTGAATCAAATGTCAAATTCAAACAGGGCTATTTGCTTTAACAAGTATACTGTATATTCTGCTACAAATTTCAGAAAAACATAAGCTCATCTTATCCTGACCATTTTACTAGAATGCATTCAATACCCACAAGATTTGTACAGATGTTTCTGTCTGGAGGCAGGCAGAGCCAATTTAAGGATTACCAAACTGTGTTTGTAACAAACTGAAAAAAATCTGTAGCACATAGTACACAACCAAAAAAATACAACAGAAATATAAAGGTATGGGGGGGGTGGATAAAACTTTTCACTCTTTCTCCATCAGAACCAAGGTTCTTCATAGGAATAAGACTATAGAAAAGGCAAAATCACAGGTTATTGACAGCCCTGCTATTAAGACACTTACGTAACAACACCAATCATTATAGAAATCAGCAGCAATGAATTCTGTGATTATACAAAGCAAAAAAAGTCAAAAAAAATTCTGGACACAGATTTGACTGTAGGCCTGAAGAAAGAATCCCATCTAGATTACAGAAAGCACATGCCCATGTGCATTCCACTTTTGTGCTTTTCTTTTGTGCACAAAACCTGATAAAACTGAGGATCTTAGGCTGGACCATAGTAAATTAAAAATTTTGAAAAAGTTCTCCAAAATTAAAGCATCAATTCCTAGTTGTGATTAAGAGTTGATTTTTTTCCTCTTCTAGGAACAAGCAAATAAAAATATAGCCACGCACATGTAATTGTACATCTATAGCACATGCTGAGCGAGGAGATCTATCAGGAGGACAGCTAGTGTTAGATGCTCAGCTTTACTATTGCAGTATCTCTTCATTTCTGTACACAAGCTCAGGGTGTTGGGCCACAAACAAGGCTGTAGATCCTTTGTTCCAGCTTAGAGGATTCAACTTTTTCTTTTTTCTTCAACATTCGTCACACAGCCTTGGTTCAGTCACTGCAGAAAAGAAAACAAGTAAAAACCTCAGCTCAATATTACTAACAGCTGCAGGACTACCACAACAGTGTCCTCCCATCCTCCAAGTTCAGGGTATGCACTGAAGGTCTGCTAAAATTTTTAAGGATTTTTCATCTTTAGAAATGTAAAATTATTAACTTTATAAACCTATCCCCTAAGAAAGGAAGAGAAATTTATAAAGAAATATTTTGAAAATTAGAAAAAAAATTTTTTTTTTTTTTGGTACCAGGGATCGAACTTGGGTCCTTGTGCTTGCACAGCAGGTAGGTGAAACCACTGAGCTAAATCCCTGAGACCAGAAAAAATTTTTAAAAGAGCAATGTGTAACCAGAAGTCTCTGGCTTTTTATCCCATAAACTGGCAAGAACCTTCTTAGCCTTCAACAAAGCTGTACCATCTAATACCATTAATCAAGAATTTAAGAAATTTACTCAACTGTGGGTGAGAGGCTTGTCTTACACAAGAAATAAACAAGCTCAAACCCATTGTCTAAGGTTTTACATGTTTAAAACATGTTTAGATCTCATTACCTCTTCACAGAACTTCTCTAAAGATGGTAATACACTACTGAAAATTAGTACATTTCCTGCATCAAAAGTAAGAGTGTTAATTTCCCTAGGGTTTCAATTCTATAATCCACAACAAAAATGTATCTTCCAGGGGCAACCCATTTTCCAATCCCCCTTCTGTCTCTCTTAGATACAAGTTATCCTTCTCTCAATAAATTTTCCTACTCTTTTAAAAAAAAATGTATCTTCCATAATTACTGAGAAAAAAAATGCCACTTTTGGTTACCAAAAATTTTTACCACATGTTAAGGTCTGAATTTGGATCTCTATAAGAAAGAAATTAAATCTACAGTGATACTTTAGTTGTAGAATGGCACCAAGCTCAGACTTTCCATTACTTGAATGGCAGTTTGAAAATAATTTGTTTGCTCTTTGTAAGTCTGCACAATAGTTGAACCAAAAATCTGACTCGAAAAGACCTGTACAGCTGAGAGTGAGTCACTCGCTGGGTCTTGCAGTAGACACAAAGGGGTGACTGACCCTTCAGTCTAAGCGCCACTCTCACCCAGACAACATACAGTGCTTGTGCCAGTGCGTTCAAACATTTGTTACTGTGCTTTTTTGTTTGTAAAGTATAACCAGGGCTCCAAAGAAAGTTAGTGATACCAGCAGTAAAGCTAAGAGGAAAACTGGGAGAACCATAGTAGAGTTAAAGAAAGAAAACATTGTGAAATTTGTTAAAGTCCTGGAAAAATGAACTTATAAGTGTAATTTTGGGGCCTCAGAACCAATTAGTTGGTTTTCCATTATTTATTATGGGAAAAATATGTTCAGTTCTTGAACTTTTCAGTGTTCAAGCATCAATTTTGAAGGAATTGAGTTTGACAACTGAGGTATCACTGTATACTCAAAGAGCCAGTGCTGAGTTTTGGCTGATGACTTTTTTCAGTTACACCTTAGTATTACACATCCACCTACCAACAAACAATGCTATCTTCTTCCACAGAGATGAATTTTTAAAAAAGGATTCAATCTCCTTCTAGGTCTACTAAAGAAAAATGTGCATATATGTGTGCTCACATACACATGCATACATAGTCAATAAAATAGTGTTCAAATTCCACCATCTGGAGACAAATGCTGTTAATATCCTAATATGTTTATTTCAAATGTTTAAAATATTCTTCTTGAAGATAGCTGAGAGCATATTCAACATACAGCTACATTCTGATTTCTCTTAATACGAGGTTCTACTTATTGCCTTGCTTAGCCGGAACATCTAAGTTGTTCTGATAAAAAAGGTAAGATAAAACATCAAGAAAGAGGCCCTTTCAGCAAAGAGACAGTGAAAAAGAGGGAGAGCAGATGCTTGGTCTCGGTTAAGGTGAATCAGAAACGTTTGAGAAAACTGTAAGGCTACAGCAAGAGACATATAGCTAAGTACAATGACAAGTCTGCTACTGTCATAAGCCACCAGTTTTCTGATTTATTTAATAAATATGGCACAGAGAAAGAACCAATAAGTAACATGTCCAGATGTAGCTATAACAATTCTAAAGCACACAGTATTCTAAAAATAGTCAAAGCATTTATGGAACACACAGAAAGCGTGAAGAGAGAGAATCCCTAACAGATCAGGTTTTCCAGTATGAACCATTTAGGTAAGAAAGATCAGAATCTGTTTAACATTTTTCCAGGAACCTTGTTCCTAGGACAAGCAATATATCCCAGACATCAATGAAATAACACTTGTGTTAGTATCTGACAACAAATTTAGTCTTTGTGGCTTTTTTTTTTTAAAGAAAGTTACACTATGCATTAGAAATCAGACTTAATGGACCAAAACACACAAAATTAGAGAAACACAGAACTACACTGTGAAACAGAGGGGTGGGGCAGGAGGAGGGAGAATTTTTCACCTATCATGTTGATTTGTTTCATACAGTAAGAAAGCATGTGGAAATAGACACTATTCTACCTTACTGCTAGGGAAGTGGTAAATTAAGAAACCTCAATGGAGGACAATTATCTACATTACAAATACACAAACCCTTAGCATGGCCAGCAGTACCACATGTAGTAATTTGTTCTATACATAAACTATTTTTTTTTGAAGCAGGGCCTTGCTTTGTAGTGCAGGCTGGCCTTGAACTCATGGTGATCATTCTGCCTCAGCCTCCTGAGGTTGAGGCTCTACACATAAGATTTTAAATGTAAAATGTCATATTGATAAAACTGTAACGTTGTCCTAGTAAAAACTGGAAAGTCAGATGTGGCAGCTCATGGTAATCCCAGCACTTCTGAGGTAAGAGGATTGTAGTTCAAAGTCAGTCTGAACAACTTAGTAACACCCTACCTCAAATTAATAAAAAGGGCATGGGTATAGCTCAGTGTGAAGGCCCTGGGTTCAATTTCTAAGAGAGACAGATGGATGGACAGACGGGGAGGGAGAGGGAGGAGAGTGAGGTAGAAGGAGAAAAGATAAGACAGAATAATAATCTCAAATGCACACCTGGTTAGATTATGTACATCCATATAAGGAGGATAAAAGTTCCTTACTCATATGAAAAAACTTCAAGATAAAGTAAGTGCAAATTCAAGGAAAGGTATTCAGTGTGCCCCTCATCCTTGGTATTGGAGATGGACCTCAGTGCCTCACACTACCACTCTATCACTGGACTCTACCACTCAGGGATAAACACTGAGCTATACCCATAGCCCTTTTTATTTATTTTTTAATTTCGAGAAAGGGTCTTGCTAGGTTGCCATGCTGGCCTCAAATTTCAGAGCCTCCTGCCTCAGCTTCCTGAGCAGCTGGTTTTACAGGCATGTGCCATCATGCCTGGCCTTTCTTTTAACAACACAAAAGGGGATGTGCACTTGTATTTGCTTGTTCAGATATTTAAAAAAACCTCCAAGAAGATACACAAGAAACCAATAACAGCATATATAATAATATAGATACAATATACAAACATAAAACTTTGGGGGACAAAATAGGTGAAGGAGGGGAGGCATTTTAAACTTCTGAAACATGTTAATGTATTACTTCTTAAAAAATTAAAAATTTCAGGGCCAGGGATTTAGCTCAGTGGTGCCATCACCTGCCTTGCAAGCACAAGGTCCTGAGCTCGATCCCTGGTACCCCCACCCAAATTTAAATTTCAGCTCTTTGCATAAAGATGCTCAGTGTATCATTATTTGACAGTAAATACATAAAAGCAACTCAGGCATTATGGGGTTGGCCAATAAACTCTGCAACATTCATATAACAGATGTTAAAAGAATGAGAGTATTTTATTCTTTATATTGGAAGACAGTCAAAATTACTGCTAAGTGAAAAAAGAAAGCTTCAAACTAGTAAGTATGGAATAAGCACATTTTTTAAAAACACTCAAAAATACGTCAGTATATGCACAGAAAGGTCTAGAAGAACATACTACAAGAATAACAGTGGTTTTTGGGAAAGAACAAAGGGAATTTTGACTTCTGAAATTCTATAGTTTTGTAATGGTAAAATTTCTCTAAATATTGTTAGTTGGAAAAAATAAAGTAAGTTTTAAAGGCAATAAACTACAACCTTCTTATGTGGGAACATCAAAGAACAGCAACTACTTTTAACAACTGAATTTAATATCTGTAGGGTCATAGTAGTTAAATTAAGTTTGTATCTTCCAGTACCTGATAATACTAGAATAAAATAGGTTTTCCTGCAGTTTTTTCTTGCACATAAGAAGTAAAACGTTTTAGAAATTTAGGATATTCTCGCTTTGCCACTGCCCTTAACACTGAGGCTGGTGCCCATCCTCCAGGATTAACTGCAAGATAAAGGAAAATTAAATTGTATTAATATATAATTCTCCACATACAGTACATGTGAAATATTTTTCTTTGTTCCTTTGCCTTTTAAAAAACCTGTTGAACACTTAGCATGTCTTAAAGTTGCAACTATTGATTTCATAATACTAACCCACCAGACATGATCAGATAATAAATAAGAAAGCATTTATTATCTTTCAAAAATGTTCTTGGTTCGCTGACATGCAAACCTAACCAGAGCAAATATTTTAAGCTAGTTAAGGTAGATCTGTTCATCAACCTCTACTATAATTAAATAATAACTTACTCAGATACCATTGTTTCTTTAAACATTTTATAGAAATGAGTATTTAACTAGAGCAACTGCAATGACAATGCAGGTACAGATAGGTGTAGTAAGGAAGCAAGTAATGAAAATGGCTCTCCAGCAGTGTGTGAAATAAATATCAAAGTACAGGTTACCAAGGACTAAGAGCAGTGATTCAGAAAATTAAAGGCCTCACAAAAGGAAAAAAACTTATTTCTTTCTCTGCTGCTGCTTCTATTCTTAATTGTAAATACATTCTATCAAATATATAACAAAAAGGTTCTTAAAACCAAAGATATATATGTGATTGTGACCTAGAGAGAAAGTTTTAAAATTCACCCATTCAGCCCCAGCTTCAGAAATTTTCATGCACTAGTCCTAGGGTAAAATTAAAGCTATTAATCTTTAAATTAATGGGTATTTTCAAAGTCTCCCCCCAAATTCTGATATACATCTCTCAAAATTAAAACTTAGTACTCTAAAGGTTAAAAAGTAAAAAAGGCATTTGAACAAAATATTTGAAACAAAAAATACATACCATTAGCTACATAGGTAATCTTGCATAGAATGTTTTCCCTGCTTATCTCCTGGTCTCCCTCTGGTGGACTTACCAACGTTTGACAAATCATAGCAATATTTATTTTGGCACGAACACATCGATTGTTTAGCTGCCAAAGCAAACAAAAACAAAAATGTACCAGTATAGCAGATATTCACTATTTTACTATTTTGTAATTTCTAGTGGCCTAATACATTAGTTTAACCAAAATCATAGAGCTTATCAAAATCTTCAACAAAATCTAATACGCACCAATAATACTTACAAAACTGATATAACACCAGGATTATCCCTCCTAAGTAGTACATGAAGCTAAATCAAAGTAGAAACTATAGTTTTGTAGTACTTGATAACTGCTTGAGTGTTAACTGGGAAGTTGCCTACATATACTACCCTTTCAGCTGTTTCACCTAAACTGGGAAAGGAAAACAGCCCTGGTGGGATGTTCCCTGCCATGACAATTGCCCTCAGCCAATATATGGGCTGTACTGTTCCACAGTCAATTCAACATAATGCAAAATCAAAGAAGCATTATCAAATCAAGTATCAATGTGTGCGGAGCTAGGGGATATTTATTCCCTTTGCCCTGCACTGTATATTTAGCTTTACATTGTACTTACAGGAGCACTGTCATGATCCACAGAAAAATTACAAACTATCCAAGTTTCAGGGTCATTTTCAGTCAAGGCTGGTATCTTTCGAATAGCAGAAAGATACAGTACATCTCGCTGAGAAGCAGGCCATACTCTCTGTGAAAAGTTGAAAATTTTCTGAAAATTTGAATCACTTTTTATGCAGATGGCACACAGGACCAAAAACAAAACAAATGTAAAACCAATTAAATGTCTTGAAGGTGAAAACTGTCAAATTTTAAATGGAAAGCATCAGAACACACACCAAAGGACTGATTACAAACATATTATCCAAGGCTTTTCAGAATAATATAATCAAAGGAATAATAGTCTATTTTTTCTTTTTCAATTATAGCAAATTTACCATTTTAACCATTTTTTTAGTGTTTAATTCGGTGGTACTGATTACATTCACAATGCTATGTCACCATCACCATTATCTATTTCTGAAATTCAACATCATCCCAAACAGAAACTCTGTATCCATGAGGTAACAATGGGCTGCTCCCCATCCTCACAGTCCAGCATAAAGTTCTGCTTAGAGACTCAAAGACTCCTTTGATATAACATATCTGGAAGAATTCGAAATCATTAGATCAAGTATTTCTACATTAATATACCCAGAAAAACACATGGAAATGACAGAACTTAGGTCTCTGATAACTGGGACTACTTTTAAATAATAAAAAATAAACTTTTATATCTCCCCGTCCCCCCACACCATCCAGAGATCGAACTCAGGACCTTGAGCTTGTAAGGCAGGTGCGGCACCACTGAGCCATATCCCCAGCCCATTTTTAAGTCACTTTTACTTTGGGGGATTTAGCACATGGGACTGAACTTTGTGCTTATTATGCAATGCCTTTCTTGATTACTGAGAGCTATAAATAGCCAATAATTCGATGTCAACACCACACACATTTGCAAAATGAAATGGTTCATCTTTTAAAAATGCAAAATTCCATGAAGCTGATGAAAGCTGTGTTGAGGAAATGCATGTGAAGCAACAAAAATGAAGATTATTGGCTTCACACGCAACTGCCCAAAACTACTTTCAGAAAGAACCAGTACAGTAATGTGCCCAAGGCCCCAGCTTCTTAGGAGAGCGCAAGCGGGTGAGGGTAGCCTGGGGAACACAAGGCCCTACCTCAATCATAAATGAAAATCAGAAGGAGCCAGGTGTGGTGGGACACACCTCCGCTCCCCGCTCCATGGTTGACCAAGGCAGGAAGATTATGAATTTGAGGGCATCTAGGGCAACTTAACAAGACCTTGACTAAAACAAAAACCAGAACAAACACAAACAATAGGGCTGGGGATGAAGCTGAGTGGCAGAGCACTTGCCTATCATGCCTAAAGTCCTGAATTTGAAAAAAAAACACCTCACGAATACATATCTACAAGGCTGCTAAGAAGAATAACCAAATGTAAGGAGACAAGTAGTTTTCTTTAGGATATTATGAAAGATGTCAAATTTAAAGAGTAATATATTGTATCATATGATTTTGTTGACAAAATTATTTCAAGACAATTTGTTCATTTTAAGAATCACCAAGTAATTTTAACTTAATTTTGTTACATAAAAGATGTTATTCTAATAATTTTAATTTTATCTTTCAAACTTAATATTGAACCCTATTCTCTACTATTTACCAGGCAGAATATATTCAGTAGGTTGTTTATCAGGATCAATTATTTTCAGGAAACAAAGTTCTTCTTTTGATTCTAAATTACTGGTCATTTGTCTTCATTACAAATATAGGGCAATCAATTGATATTTTAACATTTATTAAATTTTAGATTTCACATTAGACCCCAAACCTGTATGCCTAAACAGAATTTCTATTGCTATGTATTTCTGGAGCAGCTACTTCATAAGATGAAACATAGCTCATAAATTACTCTGTCTCTGTGTGCTCTAGTGTAGGACCAGCCTCTCAGAGGTTATGCTCAGCAACTTTCCTTGCTTTGAGATAATTCACTTAGATCACTTTCATGTCTTTTAGTCTCAACATAGGCTAATGCTAAATGTTTCCTGACCTTTATTATTATGGTCAAAGGGTGTATGACTGGGAACTATCATTTATTAACTACAAAGCCTAGACATGGAGAAGTAGTAAATGGTTCTCAGAAGGCTCTTTCCTAGACTTACACTGTGCATAAAGAGTAACTATAGAGCTTGAACAAACACTTGTTTTTCTAGATTTTATTTCTTAGATTCTTGCCTGCACATTTTCTGCTGTAAATGAGTTGATAAACCTTTCAAATATACAATATTTATGAACTATTAATAAAGTCTTTGGGTCATTTATATTCCTATCAAATGCATGAATTACATTGGCATCTTTTGGGTGAATGATGAGATCCTTACCTTGTGTGTCTGATAAACGATGATTGCATTATCAGCTAATGTTTCCACCACATGAAAATTTTCTATAGTTGCTGAAATGAAGAGAATAATATTAGTAGCCAAAAAGACAACACAACCTTTTGCTCAAATGTGATGAAGTCATTTATGCTGAAAGTCAATTACAGATGTACTTTATGGGTAAAAGGAATAGGATCCTGCCCTACCTAAGCTAAATGCACATGGAAGCTATTAATCTTAGGGTTACAGATTTGCTTTCACTCTGTAGATGGTAGCTGTGAGGTCTGACCACCAGGAAGGAAATCTCATTTTCTATGGCCCAATATCCATTGTCCTCAGCAAGAAAGCAATTCTAATCACTACTACATTACTCAGGGTCAAATAAATCCCAAACATGACAGCCCATTCCTCTTTCTAGTTTACTGAAGTTAAACTGTTCCACCTACGGGCCTAGGTAACTGTATCTGCGAAAAAGGAGTGCCAAACCATCAATAATAAACATCTTGTGATGTTCAGAAGTATCTGTATTTGTGAAACTTGATGTCTAAGAGAAATATATATACACTAAGAATAACTTTGACCATTGCAAGATTCACCTAGGACTTCACATGGAAACAAAATAGTTTAGGAAAGAGTACACAATAAAAAAGAAATCTTCAATTTCAGTTGTGGCTGTTCCACTAACTAGATCTGTGCCTTCTAACAAGTCACTGGACTCATCTGAATTTTATTTGTATGTCAAATACCCACTTTCATGCAGAATTATGGGCCATTCTTTCAAATGACTCTCTATCTCTAAAAAACATACTATCTTAGCAAGCATTTTGAACAGTGAAAGATCTATTTAAAATAATGTATGGGACGGCTGAGGATGTAGATAAGTGGTAGTACAATTGTCTAGCATGCATAAGGTCCCAGGTTCAATTCCCAGCACTGCAATCAATCAATCAATCAATCAATGTAAGATATATGATGCTCAGGATATTTTCTATATTAACTTTGTAAAGTATAGATCAGATGTAGAAAACCAGATTGAATTTAAATTCAAAACAGTAATAAGATTAAAATATAACAGCTTACTTTCCCAGTCATTGCGAACATCAACATTCCAGAAATAATTGCAGACTTCATGTCCTGTAACACCTTTAACTGCATGAGTAGCTTTCAAAGGATCCAGAACAATCCCATTTTCTTCTACTTCTCTTCTATATACCTAAAAAAGACGTATTAAAAAGCTGTTTGAAAAATCAAACCCCTAAAGTACAGATTTTTAAAGCATGCTTTTAAATTTAGCTGCTTTATACTTTTATGAAAATATATTTATATTCTGCTGAAAGAAAAAAATTTCAAATTAATGGATAATAAAAAATATTTTTCCTTTTTCTTATTCTCTTTTCAGGGGACAGGGTCTTGCTATGTAGTCCAGGCTGCTCTTGAACTTATCAAGCTAAACTCAAACTCATAAGGCTCCTAATTCAGTCTCCCAAGTGCTGAGTAATCCACCACACCAGGCTACAAAAAATATTTAAAATGACAAATTGAAGGTAAACTTCAACTATGAAAAACACATATAATAGTGAATGGAATATAATTATGAATTCTAAATAAATGTCATTTACCAAACATTCTCAAAAATTATTTAACATAGCCAAGAAGGACAAATTAAGTCTGGTAGAGTGCAATCTCCTGAAGGATGCTGATTTAAGGCTGCTTTGTTCAATGTTAAATCCCCAGCATTATTGAACAGTATCAGAAACACAGTAGGCACTCATTATTTGTTGAATCAAGCCCTGAAAACTAAAATGGCAAAGAGATTATAAATACATATTTAAAATACTGAAGCTGTACACCTTAAGTGCTGAATAAAATAACTATTTCAAAATTATAGTTTCCTATTTTAAAGAACTCTGTGATAAGTTCAAGAAATGAATAAACATGTTATCATGGGGAGAATCAGCTCTCAATTTATAGAGCCAGACAACGTCAGACATTTCATATTGTTTCTCTTTCACAATCTGTCTTGCCAAACTACCTTCCCCTACATGCTTTTTTGTTCACATTATAGGGACTACTAGTTTCCCAGTCACTCAAACTGGGAACTCCAGACTTCTAATCTCTAAGGCACCCAACAATTTTCCACTCTTACCTATTCGAGGTAGGCTTTCATCTTCTTGTGCCTGCCTTGTGAAATGGTTGTCTTGGTCTCTAGTTTCCTTCCTGTTTAATCTTCCTAAAATGATAGTTTGCATATAGTGGCTAACCCACTGCTACAGATTATTCTTAGTGGGTTGCTTTATGCTCCCTATAATCTAGCCCCAATTTCTCTCTCTCTAATTATGTTGGACTGTAGTGTAGGAGCACTTTTTTTTTTCTTTTTTTTTAATTAAATTCTTTTATTGGTACATTGTAGGTATACAACACAATTACATTTCTCATTGGGAACTGGACCTTTACATAATGCATCTTGGTTCTTATTTTTTCCCCATTCCTAGCCCTCCCTTCACGCCCTCCACCCTTCCCTATTTACAAAGACTTTATTTCCATTTTTTCCATTTCTCAGCATTTTTCCTTTCCCTTTCCTTTCCCCTGCCCCTCCCACTACCCCTACCCCTCTGGACCTTTTCTTCCTATTTTGCATTATCGATTATTCATTCTAATCATTGGTACATTTTAGGTATACAATATAATGACTTTCATCATTGGAAATTTGCACCTTTACACAGTCTCTCTTGGTTCTTATTTTTCACCCTTGCTCAGCCCTCCCTTCAACCCCTCCAGTCCTATTTACAAAGATTTTGTTCCTATTTTTCCATTTTCTCATATTAATCCCATTCCCTTCTATCCTTTCCCCTAGCCCTCCTACTTTCTTCCCCTTTGCCCCTTTTCTTCCTATTTCACATTACCTATTATACATTTTGGTCCTTATTTACACTTTCAGTTTCTCACACCAGAGAAACTATTTGGTATTTACACATGTGTGTCCTATTTATTTCACTTAAGAGTATTGCCTCAATGTGCATCCACTTAGCTATAAATGTCTCTAATTTCTCATGTTTTATGGCTGAGTAGTACTCCATTTAGAAAAAAACCACATTTTCTTTATCCAGTCTCCAGTTGATGGGCATTTGGGCTGTTTCCAAGTTTTAGCTATTACAAACTGAGGAGCACTTTTTTCTAAATTTCATTCCAGGAAGAAAGACTCTGTCAAGACTATCTTGTTCTTCACTCCTTTACTTTCTCATCCTTTCACTAAATGCTACGTACAGAAGGAGGAAAAAGGCAGGGTTAACTCACTGTCTTCTTTGCATTATCTTGGTCTGCTTTGGGAGCCTATGCCTAGGGGAAGACCCGTGATTGTCCAGCTATGCTAGGTGCATCATGTTTAATTCTGGGGTAACAAATTAGCAAGATTTTGTGGCACTGATCTAAAGCCAGTCAGGTCACCAAAATTATAGCTAACATTCTGGTAGCTCATTTGTTTGCCTTTTCTTCTTAATTATTCTCTGTCCGAGAGGAAATCTCAGCATTGATATGTGTGGCATTTACTAGAATAATTCTGACCAACAGTCTATGCAAAAATCTTGAATAAAGAATTTGCTTTTGAGTTTTTGCTACCATTTCTTGTCTAAGGTGCCTTCACCAATCTTTGTCACAAACTTGTTTCCATTTCCAGATGTAGTTCCTCATTGTAAAACATTGCTTCAAATCACAGAGCACGCTTTCTTTTCTAATTTTATAACTCATCTGTATTCTTCACTCATTACACGATTAGATGGAAGCAACTATCTTTTGAAATGTCAATATCCTTTTTTCTCAACTAAAATTTTAACTTAGAGAGAGTCTGATTAAATGCATATCTTTAGCATAGGGCTTTGGGCATGAGGTAATTCAAATTCAATGCTGCTTCTGTATCTCCCATTTCTTTTTCTTTTTGAGACAGTGTCTTGCTATGTAGTTCATGGTGGCCTCAAGCTCACTACGTAGCCCAGGCTGCAGGCTGGCCTCGAACTCATGGTAATCCTCCTGCCTGAGTTCCTGTAATCCTGCCACTGAGTGCTAGGATTACAGGCATGTGCTACCATGCCCGGCTTCCCATTTCTTGCTCTTATTCTCTGCCTGTTCTATTTAGGGATATGAATATGATTGGGTAACCAGACTCCAAATATCAGGGAGGAAAAATGTTACATTGAGAGAAAAGACAAAGAGTAAGGTACAGATCAAAGAGGAAGAGAAGCAAAGCGACATCTGGGTACAACATTTAGTGTATTAAAATATAAGACAAAAAGAAATAGAGGGCCATCAGCTCTCTAACTGCCCTCTGTTACATCTAACCCCCCAAATTTTATTTTCTCTATGGCTGAGGCAAAACAGAACCGTTTTGTAAAGAAATCAGTAAAAGTGAAACAAGAAAATAAAAAGATATTTTCTCAGTATCTGGTGCTTTTCTGATTGTATGTAATAACTTATATTTTTAATAAAAATATTTTGCACTTTTTATTTATAAATTATTTCCATAGACAAATTACTAAACATGACAATGAAGCTTTAACTAGGACTGACAAGGCGGGATCAATGGACTTCATTTCTGACATCTCAATCTCACTTTCTTTTTTCTTTACTGCCTGAGGAAGTTCTTTACCTTTTTTTGTTCTCTTTGCCAGGGTTTCTCCAGGATTGTTTTCATTGCTTGTTTTCTTGAAATTAGGATCTGTGGGAAGTATACATTGTCTGAAGTCATGCATGGCTAATATTTACCTACAAGTCATCCTCTAATAATTGTCTTTTTCATAAGCTGTTTCTTCTTTTTGCTCAGATTCTGGTGCTCCACAATCTTATTATAACTGAAGTGTTTCTTGCTGTTTTCTTCCTGATCCATCACGAGCCATTCCAGCTTTTGTCTATTTCATTTTCCTCCTCTGGAGATTTTACAGATTTCAGCGATTTTTTTCTTTAAATGTATTTTTAAAAACTTCTTCTGCAAAGTATGGGTCATTTAAATCAACATCAGAAAGAGTACATTTTCACTGGCCTCTTCAGTAAAAGCCTTCTGTTTGAGTCTTTTTATCTTTCTTCTCTAAAAACTGTTCCCAAGTGATCAATTCATTATCTTTTCCTTCTACTTTGTTTTTTCACTGTCTTTTCTACACTTTAAGAGCTGGAATCTACTTAATTTCAGTATCATTTTGTTTGTCTTTTCTTTTTCTTGAATAACCTGCAAGAGCTGCCTATATTTAGCAATTTGTTCATCATCATCCTTCGTTTTCCCATCATCTTCTCCAATGATTCCATCATTACCTTGTATGTAGTTCTTTTATTTCCTCTTCATCCTCACTAGAGGAAGCTAAATATGTTTGAAAATCCATGTCCAAAAGTACTTCCTTTCTTAGTTTTCTGTTGAGTGTTTTTTTTTTCTGGTACTGGGGATCGAACTCAGGACCTGTGCTTGCGAGGCAGGCATGGTGCCACTGAGCTAAATCCCCAGCCCTGTTGAGTATTGTGATTCCTTCATGATCAGTCTCATCCCCAGTGACCTCACTGATGTTCCCATTGTGGCAGATGTAAAATATTTTGAAATATATGCTGTTAAATCAACTTCTGAGGCCACCTCCTTAGTTTATCTGGTATAAACCCTAGAGCTATGAAAGAACAACTATTTTTGAATTCCAGCCATCACAACTCTCTTAAATTTTACTTGTTATTTTAGGAGAATCACAGTCCACTACTGCACAGTATACTTCAGTCATTTGAACTGATAATCTTTCAGTTTTTCTCTAAAAGTCCAATCTTTTTCAGAAGCATCTTCAGGAATTTTTAGTAACTCTATTGGTCCTTGAGGTTCCTGTTCCTTCATCCTCTCCTTTCCAAACTCTGAAAGACATAGCTTTAGAGAAAATTAATACCTCTTTTGGGCTTAACTGAGTTGAACAGAGCAAGTAAATCTTTTGCCTTTAATCTATCCCATGTTGCAAACTGCTAACTGACATGTAATCTCGTCAGCCCAGTTCTCTCCAAGCATGCTCAAAACCAGGTTCTTCTGGAAATAAATCTGCCAAATCATCTTCATCTTCAGCATTAGCTTTTATATTTCCTTGTCTCCTATAAGAACAGGACACTGTCACTTTCATTATCACCCTACCTTCATCATCTTCACTTCCATCATCAGATGAAGCTCTACTAACCTGTGATTTCATCTTCAGACTCTTCACTTCCTATTTTACCAGAACTGTCTGAATCTCCTTCCACAGCATCATTGTCAGAGATTTTATTACCACTATTTCTTGCTATTATGAATGGAAGCATGGTTGCTTTTTGTTTTTGTTTTCATACCGGGGATCGAACTCAGGACCTTGCATTTGTGAGGCAGGAGCAGTGCCACTGAGCTAAATCCCCGGCCCTGGTTGCTTTTTGTTTTAGAACAACTGCTCTTGAGAGATTTCACAATTTCAGAGGCACTTGTGTCTACTGTCTTTAATTTTCCTTTGAAAAAAGATTCTCTACTATGTTCAACAATGGATTTTTTTGTACAAGTTTTTTGCTGTCATTCTTGAGCTTTACTTCTGAATCTATCTTTATAGACTTACATAAGCTTTTCATTTACTCAATTCTTTCAGAATTACCTAAATCATTTTTATTTCCAGGATCCTTCTGAGTAATTTTCTTAGTTTCTTTTTCTCCTCAATCACATTTTTTGAATCTCTTTCTTTTTTTGCCTGGTAGGTTTTCTTCTTTATTTTCTTTTCATTCAATGCTTTGCTATCTTCATCAGAGAGATTAGAATCAAAATCTGAAAGGTCATAAAAATGTTTCAAGTCTTCTGTAGTGCTGTGGTTGACAGTGTATCCTCTTTAATCAACAGCATAGTTCAATTTGAACTTTTGTCATGAAGCATGGCTTGAAATCTCTTGTCAGTTTTGTCTTTTTGATTCTTTTCTGGCATTTCCCCAAATCTGGGGTCCTTTGAAACCCACCTAAACCAGTGGTCACTCATTATTCTCACTATGTAGTTTAGGCTAGCCTTGAACTCACTATGTAGCCCAGGATGGCCTGAAACTCATGGCAATCCTCCTGCCTCAGCCTCCCAAGTACTAGAATTACAGGAGTGTACCACCATGCCTGGCTCATTATTTCTTGTTTGGATGACATTAAAAGTTGTACTGAAGAAATGTTCAAAGAAACCAAGTGAGTCTTGGCTCCTTCTTAGCCTTACATGGAACCCTGGAACTTATTTTAAAGTAATCTGAAAATGTACCTTTCATTTTTATTAATCTAATCTTCATTGACATTATCAATGATAATATCACAGAAACGGAGCTCCACTTAGCAATATATAACATTTTGGCAGGAATTACCTTCATTTCTCCTTCTTCTACAACCAACTGCCAATTGGCATCTCCACCTACATCCTGCAATGAGTAAGTCATATGGTTCTGGACCATTTCTTCAACCTTAAAAAGAAAAACAAAGCATGAGAATCCATATACAACAGTTATGTCATAACATCTCAAACAGAATGGTTACTTCAATTCAGAAATGATGCCCTTAGAAAGCTCAAGTTAGTAGGTTGTACCTACTGTTGAAGAGCTTAGTCTGCATTCTAGATACACAAGTTAATGACACAGGGAGAAGTACAGGGAAGGAAAATGCTTCATTCAAGTAACACAGATTGGTCAATCGTGCATCAAGTGACCAAAATAAGCCTTTCTGGAAAAGTGAAATACTGAACCCTTTACTATGAAATACACAGATGATATCATCATAGAATACTAAAGGGGAAAGGAATACAAAGAAATCATTTAGTCTACTGTTACTATATTGAAGACTATGTAGAGATACCAGAAAGCTTGCTATATGTCAAAGACTTGCCTAAAAAAGGGTGACAAAATTTTCCTTGTTTCACTTATAAACCTCTTTCATCATGAATATTATAAACCAACTTAAAGATACACAAAGCTCCTTTTATTTGATTTCAATTTCACTGTACTAAAGTCTATGAAGGACAATACTAATAATAATCACATGTTCAAGTATTTACACACAATCACCTTCTAGTACATTCTTTCACAATTTCTTATTCTTTTCTTTATCTGCTCCTCCAATGTGTGTGTGGGTGCTGGGGATTAAAACCAGGGCTTCCCACCCACATCCTCAGCAAAAGCTACACCTTCAGTGGTACTAAATCTCTTATATTAAGTAAATTTCAATGCAATTTTGTCTATCCTAAGTTACCCCTTAAATAAGCAAATAAAACTGAATACATATTTCATGCTCCCAGAAGCTGTAATTTTATTTTTATTAAGATTTCATGAGAGAATTCTTTGCAAAATTTCCCAATTTTAAATGGTTTGTTTGTTTTTTGGTACTGGGGATTGAACTTGGGTCCTTGCGCTTGTGCAGCAGGCAGCGAAACTACTGAGCTAAATCCCCAGCCCTCAAATGTTTTAAAACAGAACTGAAGGGCTAACGACTATGTCAAAATGATGTCATATAATAAATACATTAAAAGCAGTTAGAAAATACATTGTTTAAAAATCTGTTCCCAAATTTACTTATTTTGCATAAAGTCTACTGAGTTCATTAAGAATACTGAACAAAGAACTAGTTTAGACATATTTAGAAATAAATATCTTCACTGTTTTGAGGCAGAAACTCTTACAATTATTAAAGCTGGCTACATAATCTTTCAACAATAAAGAATGCATTTTTGGTTAATGAAAGCAAGTGCATTTTAAGTGGCTCCTGATTTGACAAGTTTTTGATAAAAATATTAAGGCTGAGATTCTACAATCTATTTTTTACTGTTATTTTATTCCTTTTAAACAATGTGAGGGATGTTGAGTTTCAGACTTTAGAGAAATTTAAAAATAGTACATTCTATAATTTTACAAGGCCTTAACTAGAGAACATAATTTCAGGTGCTACACAGATAAGCTTGTGTGCCTCTTTAACTTTGAAATCTGCTTTGAGAGGATAAGGACGCCTAATACGGGATTGCAAGTTACAAATACAGACAAAGTACATCTGGCTTCCAAAAGAGGAAGAATAATGTTATCTTGATTCATTTATCTGTTACAAGGTGACTGAAAGAAATTTTTTATTTTCTTTAGATCCCGAGATCTTAAAAAAACAAACTTTACCATTGCCTGCTTCCTAAGTGCAAGGACCTGAGTTCGATCCCTGGTACCAAAACAAACAAACAAACTTTAGATTTTTTGAGTAAGCACTTTTAAGTGAAAAATGAAAAGTTAAGAATACTTGTGTTTCTCATGAGATTAGAAGCAGAAAGAAATGCTAACCAGAAATAAACCCTACATTAAATGGGTTACTTGTGTAGAAGAATGTGAAGAGGATAGTATTCTGTTAAAATGAAAGAATTTGGTTTAAAAGAATTGTAGGATCATTAGATCATTTGTTATAAACTATATAAATAATTTTATTTTTGTTTGGGAGATTATTTCTGAGTTAGGTATTTCCAATATTTGAGAAATAAGGCATTTTTGATTTATGTTTTGGTCCAAAAGAAACTAGATTGCTCAAAAACAAAGCCATAGGAGGTAGCACACGTTCAACAGTATACAGAAAGCACATTTAACACTGTCATTCTAAATGGATTAAAATGGTATTACTATAACAGTTACTAATACATCAATGCAAAAACAGTTTAAAATATTTTGTTTTACTTTGATTTAAGAGGGCCTGAAAAAGGCCAACAAAGATACAAGATGCTATGCTGTGCTCCTAGAAAATTACAGAAACAAAAGTACTAAATTACTGTAGTAACTTCTGCAAAGCTTTCAGCACGGGATTGTTGGTATGTTAGCTTCCTTGTGGTAGCAACTTTAAGGTAAAGAGGACAGGTGACACAGATAAGATCTTACTAAAATGGATTTCATGTTCGTGCAGTAAAACTTTATATATCCAATATTACCAGAGAGGCAGTGACTTGGGCTCTTGTCTTCATACTGACACTTCATATCTAATCTAATGATCTGCTCACTTTACCGTGTAGCTATGACTCTATATGTCAAAAAGATGTGTGAAACAAGGGACCATTATGTTTGATAATAAGAATAAACACAAAGTAAAATTTCTGTTATATTAGGCTCATATTTCAGGAAAAGCTGTTACCAGTAACATCTGCTATCACTCAAAAACAAAAACTAGGTCAAAATCATTAAAGCAGTCCAAATATTCCTGTTTTAATTAGACTAAGTACAACTCTAGTAATCATGCCTTTGGTTTTTCTACAGTTGAAATGAGCCCATACTGTAGCATCCTTATGCCAAGGATCTTTGAACAAATGCATATAAAACACATTTGGGATAAGGGGATCATTACTCCAATTCTAACCATCTCACACTTGAATCATTGAGTAGGATGTCATTTGGGGAGGTTACTAAATTTGATTTTTCTAACATTATTAACACAGAAATCTGCAAAGAAAATCGCCCTTTGATGGTACAAACAAAAGTCAAGAAACACTCAAATACAACTCAGATCTCTTTTTCTTACCCCTGTGAAAAGAATACAATTATGCTTATTTTTACAGTTACAAAATCAAATGGGCTTCTTGGATAGAATAATCTATTAATAACAAATTAATAGTGCATTGTTAACCCAAAGAAAAACAGCCAATGACATGAATACTAAGTTGTGTAAGGATATGTAGATGACTAGGAAGCAAAACTACTACCTGCAGTCAACCAGACTGGCAAAATTAACTGAATTATAATATTCAGTGTCAGTACAGCAAAAGAATCCTGTACTGGGCTGGGAGGGTAAGCTGGTTCAACTTTCTCATTACCACTTTAGCAGTAAGAATAAAAAGAAGTTTCAAATATTTATGGCTTTTGTCCCAACAATTCCACTTCCAGGAATATATTCTAAGGAAATAACTGGATAAGGTTTATATACAAGAATATCTTCTATGTAAGAATGCTCACTGTACAACTATAATAGAGAAAAACTAAAAAACATCAAATGTTCAATATAAGGTGAGTAGGCAAACTCAGCACACAGAGTCATAAATATGTAAGAGACATAGACCTGTGTTTACTGCTGGATAAATGAACCTAAAAGTAAGTTTTTAAAAAGATTAAAAATAGTTTATATACAATTATCTACTTTGACACACAAAAAAGTATATTATATAGGTGTATTTATCAACATGTGCCTTATTTTTTATTTTTATTTTTCAGTGCTGAGGATGGAACCCAGGGCCTTACATGTGCTAAGCACATAGTCTTATCACTGAGGTTTCCCAGTCCAAGTTGTTTTTGTTTTTATTTATTTTGTGAGACAGGTCTCACTATGTAGTTCAGGCTGCCCTTAAACTATGTAGCCCATGCTGGCCTTGGACTCATGGAGAACCCCTTCCTTCCTGCCTCAGCTTCCTGGGGTGCATACCACCATGCCTGGCTCTGTTTTTATTTTTTTTAGGGAGGGTCTCATTATGTTACCCAGCCTGTCTTCAAACTCCTGGCCTGAAATGATTCTCCTGACTCAGGCTCCCAAATAAATCTGAGACTACTGGCATACACCACTTTACCTGGCTTTTAATTTTTACATCTACAAACTAAACATGTGATTTATTAGCTTAATTTTATCTATTCTACTTTTTAGTTCTGCTAAAATTATATATTCATATACTAAACAAAGGGTAAAATAATTACCACAACAATTATGTTGTTGTACAAATGACATAGAACTGTTTTTTTTTTGCAATGAGACACACCATACTGCAAATGTACTGTACATTCTTTGATTATTTTTTAAACAAAGGATGATTTTCTTCCACTCTTTGATTTCAGAGGTAACATCTTTAAAGGATAACTGTGTTTTATGAATAAATATGACCAAAGTATCCATTTGTAAATCTAAATCTGTTCTACTTTCTGAACATCTAAAAATTATTTTGGAATTTGTGGTTACAGCCATTACTTGAAGAACCTGTGGCCCACAATTCTAATTTCTCAGATTTGGAGCAACTCTATTTCTAATAGTCACCTATCAAAAAGATTCAGATCATATTTCCCTGAAAATAAGACCTAACCAGAAAATAAGCCCTAACAGGATCTTTCAGGATGCTTATAATATAAGCCCTACCCTAAAAATAAGCCCCAGTTAAGATTGTCAGCCAGATGATCGCATTTATTACATCCATTGCAACACACGACAAACCTACTGAATTATAAAATATTAACATATAATTAAATATAAATAACACTGACATTAATACTTAAATAATATAAATTATAATTAAGTATTGGTAAATACTCAATCTGCCACATTTGGACAGAGGTAAATGCCTATGTAAACAAACTCGAGTTTTATTGTTGAGTGATCAATCGGAATACAGACAACAGGCACAAATAATGTGGGCACTTGATAATGAATGGACATAGTTGTGTCTAATATGAATCTTCAAAATTCAATATATCATGGGTTGTAACAGATGTTACTTAATGTATTCATATGAAATAAATATTTTCTGATTTTGATGCCTGCAACTTTTTACTGCTTTTAATGGAGACCATCATTCTTAACTGTCATCATTTTTGTTGCCAATCCTGTAGCCTAAGTCTGGAAACTTGATGAAGCTCAGTCTGCGAGAGGTCATGTCTTGGGTGAAGAATTCAAGGGATAAAATCACTGACGGCTGTGTTGCCAATGCACTATGAGCAGAGTACACGGACAAGAAGTGCTCATTTAAGGAGAGCTCTATTGCTGGACACGAGATTGGGGCCAATGGTTCTACAAGGGTTCTACAGGAAATGGAGTCACAAGAAATGTGGGCTGGAATTCAGGGTTTGGAGAGTTGTGATTATATTCCAGAAGAAGATGACATGATTATATTTGAATAAATGTAGATTTCTGTATATGAATAAATGTAGATTGCTGTACATTCCCTAAAAATAAGCCCTATTATTTTCTTTGGAGCAAAAATTAATGTAAACAGCCTTATTTTTGAGGTTGATAGAAATTTCCTAGTAGATGCATATATTTTATCTGAAGCTATTTTCATAGTTCTGTTTGATTATCTTACCCAATCAGGCTTAATGATCATCATTCATTAAGAACAGGATAGTCACGAGTCAAAAATTATGTATGTAGCAAATACAAATTATCAGAGATTAAGAAGAGTTCTGTATAGGAACTGATACAAATGATAAAGAAATGAGGCATACTGGTATGTATCTGTATCTGGGGCAGGTCATGATTAACAAGTAACCTGTTTATTTTCTTAGCTAACGTTTGTTCTGGGAGAACATAAGAGTCATAAAGTCCTCAGGTGCAGTGTTATCTTGCTATCAGAGGTGCCACAGTGTCACCAACCACTTAGGCCTCAACTGTGACCTTGGCATAGGGAGATCTGTTTCCACATGCCACTTGAAGGCTCATCTAGCAAGTCACGTAGGCCTACAACAGATTTACAATTTAATCAATAGCTAATTCATAAGCCAATTCAATAATATTTTATAGCCTGCTTAGCACAGTTTCAAGCTGGTCTCCGACATATCTGGATTGTTTTGTTTTTTTTTTTGGTACCGAAGATTGAACTCGGGTCCTTGTGCTTGCAAGGCAAGTGGTGAAACCATTGAGTTAAATCCCCAGCCCTATATCTGGATTTTTAAAAGATGTTGGAGTATATATAAATTGACTGGGGTATTACACTTAAATGATATTTTAGCTTTTTGGGGGGCTGTATTGGTGATCAAATCCAGGGCTCTGCCCATGGTAAGGCAAGTGTTCTACCACTGAGCTACATTCTCAGCCCTTGGCAAATCATTAAAAGTGATGAAAAACTTTGACTTAAGTTTCTGAATTATTAAAGTATTATAAAATGAAGAATTTGCTTACCTAAAATATCTTAAGGAAGTATATGAAGTTAAGTGTATTTTAAATGTATTATTACATATAATGTAAAATGTTTCTAATGTTAATAACATTAAAACAAACAAAAGAAAGCAAAAAAGAGTTAACAATCTTAGAACTTATTATTATGCTTAATACTGTATATAAATCTTTTCAGGATGTAAGATTATAAAATGTACCAACTCAATTAAGTCACTAGTGTAATCCAACACTGTGTTGAACTGAAGAGTTTCCCAGTTTCTTAGCTAACATTAACTCTAGATCTAGATCCAGTGCTATATTCTCACATGATTATACAGAATCAATTTGATAATGTGAGGTAAGGCAGTGAATTGGCCTCTGACATAAGCCATCTTATCAACTGAGAATTACTTATTCTAAGGGTGGTGCTGAAGGTGAGGTGCAGTTTAATCAACAGTTAAATGCCAGAGCCCAAGTCTGCCAACAACAACAACAATAGCAGCAGCAGCAGCTTTAGCAAGGACAATAAGTATTGTACTTGAAGACTTCAGGTATTTTCTTTACTGTTACCTCATGTAGCATATAAGACAGCACAATAGTCAAAAGCTAAAACAGAATGTGATCAATCATAAGCATAATATATTAGAAAAAAATCTACCAATGTCATTAATTTCTCTTTACTCAAATTACATAAAAAAGTTATACAAAGAAGAAAGCTACAATTTGGCAAAGTCTTGTAAAAATATGAGCAGCTGCTCTTCAAACCTTGATGGAGTACTTCAAAGTTTTCAGCAGTTCTATGGCTCTATAGCTAGGTTCCAGGTTTGGGATCTAAGGCCAAGTTCTTAGGCATTATTTATCACTGATTATATTCTTCCCTTGAACTCATCACATTTTCTTTCATTTAAAGCCTATGTATTTCTACAATTCAGAGGAAATGGTGGTCAGTACTGATGGGGTTTAGTCTTTAATTTTATTACTTAAAGCAAGGTGGGGCTTAGCAGAATAAACTAAAGTCTCCTGATATTAACTAGTTTTATCACTGATTTGTTATAAACATAACGAGTCATTTTTAAAAAGGCATGCATATGTAGATAAAGAAATAAATACTGTAGTATATTTGGTTATGGGTGATTTCTGACCAAGAATTTGTTAAAATTTTTCTCAAAGATTGTCACCACCTGCCTCACAAGCACAGGGGCCCGAGTTCAATCCCCAGTACCAAAAAAAATTTTTTCTCAAAGAGGTTCAAAGCAAAACTAAGAAAATGTATTTCAAGCCTTAATTTTCTTCCCTACTGCACTGTTAAATCTAATGTAAGCTGGGCATGGTGGCACATGCCTGCAATCCCAGCACTCGCGAGGCTAAGGCAGGAGGATTCCTTTGAGTTCAAGGCCAGCATGGGATACATACTGAGTTCAAGACCAGCCTGGACTACACAGTGAGACCCTGTCTCAAAAAATCAAAATCAAAAAAACAAACAAACTAATGTAAATTTTGTTTGTATATGTAAAATAGATGTTTCAAACATGACTTTTATAAACTTTAATTTTAATACCCCAATAGAGAAAAAATGTAGATAATTCTGATAGCCAGAAGAAATTATGCTATTATAATGACCAAAAAACACCCCATTTACTGAGTATTTACTCTGTTCCAGGTTCTAGCTAAGTTAGAAAAGAAAACCTGCCCAAGATCACACAGCTAACCAGGATTTAAAGTAGTCATTTGATTGAGAAAACTAACATAATAAATCCATCACCATAAAAATACAAAATCGAATGGCAAAAATATGAAAATTAAAAACTTTGTTTTTTAAATTTTAAGGGCTGGTGGTGTAGTTCAGTACCAGGTAGATTGTTTGCCTGGCGTGCACAAGGTCCTGGGTTAAATTCCCAGCACTAAAAAAAAAAAAAAAAAAAAAAAAGGAACAAGAAAAAATATGTATGTATATAATTTCTAAACTAATGTTCATACTAAAAAATATTCCTCTGGTGATAAACTGATTTTGGAGACTGTGTATCTTGTCTCAAATTCCTAAATGTTTAGTGATACTAAGTAAATTTAAGACCAATGACCAACTTCCATAGATCTTAGCATATAAGCAGGAATATCAATTTATAATATCCACAGGTAATTTGCACAAGGAAAATACTATCTGCTCAATGGAGCTCAGTATTCTAATGGTAATGAGACTAATATTTTTAAAAAAGTATTGCCTTGTTCACCATAACCAGGAAATATTTTAAATTAGGTTAAAGTGGGAGTATTAAAAATCTTTTATGCTATAACATATCCTGCAGGTCATGTTGATGATAGCTGTTGAATCCTATCTGAAGAAACAGATATTACATGACATATATATAGATCAGGTAATTGGTATTTGTTTCAATTCAATTTGAAAATTTTTCTTGAATACCTCCAATATGATGAAATAGCTATTCACAGTAGAGAACACAAAGTAAAGGGCACATGGAAGCCCGACAGAGGAATTACTTAGTACATAAGGAAGGCCTTTTAAATTCTTATTGTTACTATTTAAAATTCAAAATCAAAACAAGTGACCTGAACAAGATTTCTAGGAACCAGGCAAGCAGGTTGAAATATAGAACAGAAAGACTCAAGTCCACTCTACACATTCATACAGTACCTGGGAGCTGAATCTGTGAACATCGTCAGAGGCACTGACTAGATCAATGGAAGACATGGAGGAAGAGCGACTATAGGGCTACCAGAGACAGACAAAGAAAAAACCAAGTAATCAGAACAAAGGCACAACAGAGCATTCAATACCAACTTCCAAACACAAGATAAAGAAAGAGAAAACAAAGCACTATATGAAACAGGCACAGCAGCAAGTGCTGACTTCATGGACCTATTATGTATTATGTTCCAAAATCATTCCAAAAAGAATGCAGTGCTTCCAATAATACAAATAATACCACTTAATCCCACAGAAAAAAGAGATTTAATATAACTGGCTAAACTTCTGGTTAACTGTTTGGACTAGCCACTCCCTACCCACCCACTCCCTTTTTCCCCATTAAATAAAAAAAGAATGCTATGTTCAGAATGAGATTTCTAATTGTTGGAGAATGTACATGGACTATAACATACACTACAAAAAGTTTTACTACTTAAAATTCATGAAAAGGGGAGAAAATTTATACTATAAGATTGTTCCTTCAACAGTGAAGAATACAAAGTATACTTCTAGTAAACATTAATACTGACTCACCTTTTGGACGAATCTATGAGTCCCCACAGAAGAAAAGGCATCTCCAGATGGCAATGATGTAGGCCAGTGTAATCTGACCTTTTCACTCTGTGACTAAAAAACATGTAATGTTATGATGAAATGGTTTTCAAGTATATTTTGGAGATTAAGAATGGACACTATAGCCTTGAAGTACTAACATATAATTAATTACTAAACACTTGAGTGCTTATAAATACTTGAATCATCAAACTACTTCACAGACATGAGTCTGATCAAATCTGACACTTCAGATCCTCAGCTCAGTCTCTTCTGACTCCATAGATATACAGTATTAGACCAAGGATAAGTTCTTTGATTTTGCTTAGTCAGACCCTGCACTATCTGCATAGCCTTATTTATCATGAATCAATCTTAACACTGCTGCCGATTGTACTTCTATCCAAACTCTGACCAAATCATTCCAATCATTCTACTTCCTCTGGACCTGTGGTTCTGGACCACAGACATATGTGTCTCATCAGAACCCACATCTTTACACACTTTGTTATGTTCCTAAGAACATGTCTTTGCCTCTTTTCCATGAAGGCCAAAACCTGTTAAACTGACCTGTGACCTTCTTCATCCTCTTTAGTTTGCCTAGTTTCTTCTTATCTCAATGCTTACTAAAACTAATGCACCAGAAATTGTGCTGTGTTGTATGTGTGCTCATCTAACTATACAGAAGATATCTGGTAATTTCTATTAAATGCTACATGAACACAAGGCCAATTTACTGCATATATCTTTTCCCATATTTGCAAATAATATAAACTCAAAAATGTGTGATCATTACTTTTTGAGAGCCCTGTGCAATATATGCTAAGTATAAAGAGGGAAATGATCTGAACCTGTGGATCTGATTTCATGGATTTCTGAAGGTTGCTAATTTAGAGAACTACTACACTGTAATTATATTCAACACACTGATGTGCCTAGCTAGTACATGAACAAATTCAGGGTCTGTTCCATGGCTGTTTTGGAGAGAACCTCCCACAAAGTCAAGAACAGACTGAAATTAAATCATCTGACACCCCACAGGTACTTCTTTTTCTAAAGTTTATACTGAGTCTCTTAAGCCCAACTCAGCCACTATATTTATAGTCAGCAGAGTAGCATTTTTAGAGACAAAAAGGATGTTTTGAATTATCCTGGCTAGCTTCTTGCTTCACAGGTTAGAAAAGCAAGGAACAGAGAATTTAAGCGTTAAATTCATAACTACAAATTTAGGTGGTGGCAAAACCAAGAATAAGACTGAGGTATGCTGACTCTAGTGTTGCTACTCTTTCCATAACAGCATAATGTAGGGACAAAAGGGAAGTAAAATAAAAAACAAATGATAGTACTTCAGAAGTACTGTAGGGTTGTAAAGTAGAGTTCATTAGGGAAGTTCCTAATGAAAGTTTCCACTCTTACTGAGTGCTGTGTAGCATCTTTTGAGTATACAAATTGAGTAATAACCTTTATAAATTAATGGGACATGAACTTTTTACTGTTCATTTAAAAAACAATGAAAAAAAAAATGAGAGGTCAATGAGTGATTTATTGCAAAAGAATTCTTGGCTATTTAAACTAGAAAATGGGAGTAATGGCCATGACTGCCTTAGTGATGACAGAAGATAGGCCAATATTTCTATTCAAGGTCATTTGTAGAATAAAACTGACAAAAAAGATTATTTTCAAGATCTTTATAGCCACAGTTTATTCATACTTGCCAAAAAGGAAAGTAGTTTCTATCATAAGTAGTATAGCTTAAAGAGGGAGGAAGACTAACAACTAAATAAAATCCACCCTTAAGTACCACCTAGTGGTAAAATGTAGTAACAGCATTGTAGCAGAATTAAAGGCAAGAGATCAAATTAATCTTGAAACCAGAGTTAAAGGACTTAAATGCATTCCTTCAATGTCTACAAAAGAAGCAGGGTATATATGCTGTGAATTTAATGATGACAAAGAATTGAGCAGAGTAAAAAAAAAGTAAAAGTGGGAAAGAAACTGAAGGTGAAGGTAATAAAGGCAATAAAGGAGTTGATAATAAAAACTAAATGGCAGGGCCAGGGATTTAGCTCAGTGGTGTTGCTGCCTGCTGAGCAAGCTCAAGGACCTGAGTTTGATCCCTGGTACAAAAAAAACCTAAATGGCAAAAAACCCCAATAAAAACAGTCTTAAATTTCTGATCACCTTCCATTTGAATTCAGATGGTACTTGGTGAAGAAAAATTCTTTACTCAATGTATGTTTGCTACAATAATAGCCAAAGAATAGTTGAGCTGGTTATAATGGCACATGCCTGTAAATCCCAACACTCTGGGAGCCTGAGGCAGGAAGATTGCAAGTTTGAGCCTAGCCTGGGCAATTTAGTGAGACACTTGAGGTCAATCCACAGTATCAACCAACCAACCAACCAACCAAATAAAAAAAAAATAAAGCTGGATACTTCAAATGGTTAAAGTTACAGATTTCAAGGGTAGTAGGCAGAACATTTCCTAATTTTTAGTTCATGTTAATAGGAATCTACATGCATACTTTAATGTTTGTTCTTTTAGATTGCTCAGAAATTAATCTATAAAGAAACTGACCAAGATTCTTCTACATTTATGACTCAATGAAGACAGTTAATTTTTTAGGTTATTCAGATGTTTTCAAATTCTATAAATATGAAATAACATATGTCAAGTTAAGCTATAGTGTTAAAATGAATTCAGCTTAGAAGTTTTAATAATAATAATAAATACATATATACCTGTTCTTCTATTTTATCTTGTCTGTCAAGAGCAGCTTCAACAGCATCAAAGAATTCTTCTTCATTAATCAGACTATTTGGGCCTTCCTATTCAAACACACAAGAATAAAAAAAAGCAATTGATTTAAGGAACTAGAAAACACAGATAATTGTGGTATTAACTAGGAAAAAGTTCAAAATTGGTCCAATAAACATTTACTGAGCACATGTTTGTGAACTAGTCAGTATACTTGGTAATACTATCACAAAGATAAGTAATATATTCTGTAAAATACTATTTTAGGGTAGTAGTCTAGAGTAGGGGTTAGCCAACTATGGTCAGTGGGTCTAGTCTGCTATTTTTGTATGGCTTTGTGAGCTAAAAATTTCAATTTGAAAAGATCAAGAAAAAAATGAGAGTAATAACATTCTATGACAAATAGGAATTACTTGAAATTAAAATTCTGGTGCCCAACACAAAGTTTTATTGGAACACATCATTTTCATTCATTTATATTGTAGAAAGCTAAGTGCAAAGTTGCAAAAGATCTATCGCCTATGAAAAGTACAGATAGGAATTCAAGGACAATCTTCCTAAGCAAGGGCAATTGTTTAATGGAGAAAGAAAAGATGAATTGATGCCTGAAACCTGGTTAAGATGGCAGCACAGTGGTCACCAATCACTTGGAGGAACTTGTTACAATGAAAATTCCCAGGTCACCATACCAAATTACTTTTCAGTAGGTCAGTGGAGCCTAGGAGTCTACATGTCTCTCAAGTGATTCTGATGCAAGTGGAAGCTCAGCTATATCAGAAAATAAAAGTATAAAGAAAAGAAGTAAAACAGAAACAGGTAGATTTGAGCTGTGATGAACCAAGTAAGATGACAGTTAAGTGGAATAGTAACTTCATATTATAGTAAAAGTAGAGCATGAACACGTAAGACTTGAGTTTGGGGTTACCCAAAATTAAAAATATGGGGTAGGGGAGCCAGAAAGAGAAAGACATGAACAATTTCTGTAATCTTCTCAGTTACATTGATAACCCCATTAAAAATGTGTTATGTACATAGGCCAAATCCACTAAAAATTATGTACTGAAAACATGTATGCAAAAAAAAAAAGGTGATGAAGAGATGGGAATGAAGAAAGGAATTAACATGTGTTATATACATGTACCAACTTTACACAAGGAATGTAAACATTATGTACTACACATATGTACTAATAAACTAAAAGTTTAAAAAAAGTAGTAACAATCATCCTATCCCCACTATAACCTGTGACTATACTGGAAGAGTAAGGAACTATGGTGTAATGGTCTTGTCACTCGGCACAGGCATATAAAAAATACTGACTAAATACAATTTTTCTTTTAAACCACTTCAATTCCCACCAACATTTTACCAAATACAACACACATACCGAACAGTATAAAGAACAGTATACATTCAGTGAATTATCAAGTGAATACAATCATTTACAGTAATACTTAAGGGCCAGGGATTTAGCTCAGTGGTTCTGCCGCCTGTCTTGCAAGTGGAAGGTCCCAAGTTTGATCTCCAGTAACCCTCCCCAAAAAACAACAAAAAAACCCAGTAATACTTCAGTTCACAAATGCTTCTGTTTGCTAACAATTTGGTTCACAAACAAGTATTGGCAAAATTTTGCTTCTGTTCACAAACTCTGCATCAGATGACAAATATGACCACAGCCATTTTCCCCACACAAACAAAAATAGAGCCATCTTTCCCAAAATCGTAAAACAAATCAAGTTCATAAATCGAGGTACCACTGTAATGACCAGCTAGGATACAAGGGTCATAAAAAGAGCAGCTAGACACACACTCTAGAGTCCTCTTTCCTGCAGGATTCCCCTTAAAAGGCCTAAATATTTCAAAGACACTCAACTGATAGTGGTATAACTGGTCTCTGTTGATTGCAGAAAAACAAACATCCAAAATCTACTCCAAATACTAAACATATTTTCTAACAAGTTTTAAAACTATTGATTACAACCACATCTAAATTTTAAAAATAGTAATATTTATTCAATCTACAGTGCCTTAGTGAATTTGGATTCTCGGTCCTTATGCAATCATATGAGAGTCTTAGGAGTCTGTATTTGGGATCTATAGCTTTACAAATTCATCCTCTGTAGTATGAGGAAGGAGAAATTTGCCGAACGAAACAAAGTTTTTTCTTTAATAGCAAATCTGAGGGAGAAAAACTAAAGTAAGCAGAATAAAATTACCTTTATTAAGAAGGGTTTAAAGCTGGGCATGGTGGAAAATGCCTGTAATCCCACCTACTAGTGAGGCTGAAGGAGGAGGATCACAAGTTCCAGGGCAGCCTGGGCAACTTAGTGAGACCCTGAAAATGTCTTAAGTCAAAATGCATTTAATGAACTTAACCTACCAATCATCATAGCTTATATGAAACTATATCAGCTGCTCACTCTCATGGTCCTTTGGCTGTTTGGAAGCTGCAGTTCACAGTAGCTGCCTAGCACTGAGATGGTCTCACATTTTGATAGCATAGGAAAAGATCAAAATTAAAAATAGCACTGTGCACACGTGTGCAAGCCTGTGGTGCTGGGTACCAAACCTAGGGCCTTGTGCCTATTAGAGCCAGTACAGCCAGTAGTAAGGCTTTTGTACTACAACAGAATTTAAAATCTTAAGTTGAATCATTATCAGTTGGGGACTGTACTTGTTCTCCCCACACATTCTTTTTTTTTTGGTACCGGGGATCGAACTCAGGTCCTTGAGCTTGCGCAGCAGGCGGCGAAACCACTGAGCTAAATCCCCTGCCCTCCCCACACATTCTTATTCATCCTTAAGGTTTCAGTCATTATTCCATAGCCAGGCCATCTCTCTTCTCTAACAGAGCTTTAAAGTTAATAATACGAATGAAGATTTTTCCCATGTGCAAGTCTCAAATCAGCTGGAAGACGTCTAAAGCCTGGCCTTTCACTTCCACAGCAATGTGCAGAAATCAGTGCCTAATCTTGGATTCCTCCATTCCCCTTATTCAATCACCATATTTTTCAATTTATTTTCCAAATATCTAATTTGTTGGTGTTTCTCTATTCCTCCTGCTTCTACTCTAATTTAGGCTATCTTTAAATCTCATTTGTATTTACAGAAAAAGTTTTCAAGTCTCCAGTCCCAACTATCACCTTCAATCCATTTTTCTCAGTGCAGGAAGTAAGAATGATTTTCTAAAGTGTAACTCTGAAAGCTTCATTTTCTTGCTTATAACCTATTGCCTCAGGATCTGAACTGATTCTTGAAGACTTTTCTAGCCAGTCTCCTGCCATGCCTCAATTTATAGAGGATACATTCTCCACAAAGGTACTTTCAGTTCCCCTGAGGAAAAAGGCTCTGACCTCTAAATGGTTTCTTCCTTGGCAGCCCCTAAGCCAGTGGTGGCAAACCTATGGCATATGTGTTATTGTATTTTTCTTTTAAGAAAAAAGATGTTAATGTATGAGTTCTTTTTCCTAAAAAAAACAAAAAAACCCACCCCTCAATGTTTAGGTTTAATTGCAGTATTCTACTCTGGGATAAATAAGTGGGTTTGGGGTCTCAGTTTGGGCATTTGTCTAACCATCACTGCCCTAAGCAAACATTCCTTGGTGGCTATTCACTGGTTAAGGGCTATTTACTTTATTCATCCTTAAGGTTTCAGCTAAAATGTATTTCCTCTGGGAAGTCATCCTTGACTCAACACCTTCTCATGGTTAAAAGTGCTCTGTAATATATATTATTATAATTGCTTATTAACTAGTCTGTGTTCCCATTACATACTCACACTGGGGCCTCTGACAGGATCTTGTCTGCCTTATGCCTTGCTATACCCTACATGGCTAGCACAGTGTTTTCCATTATAGTAAGTCTTAAGGAATGGACTTAAAGTTATAAAGTAATTTCTGAGGTTATAAATGACACAAACATTTAAACTTTGTCATTAATTAGAATATCATGAAAATCTGATTAATAAACAAAATTAAGTCACAGTTTGAACCCTCTAAAAATTCACACAAGTATAGTACTAACCTAAGAAAAAATAGTTCAAAAATCCAACAGGAAAAGGAAAAAAGATAAAACCAGATCCTAGTTTAAGAGTTGGGTATTTAATTTAGTATTAAAACACACAAGAGTACAGTGAGAGAAAAATGAAAGTACCTTTAACCATTTTTTTCATTAAGAGAGAAAAAGAAAGATGAATTTGAAATAGGTAGAATATTTATTTTATAAATGCCAGTGGAATATAGAATCCTAGGTTATATCACAATTTGTATAAATCCAGAAGTACTATCATATTTAGAAGATATTATTAAAAATAAAAACCAGAAACTATAACTATTTGGATGGAAAATGACAGATATCAGTTCATAAATGATTAAAATTTTCATATGGCAAAACCAACAATCAGTTAAGTTTTTAAAAAACTACAAATGGAAGGGCTGGGGATTTAGCTTAGTGGTTCCGGTGCCTGCCATGCAAGTGCAAGGTCCCGAGTTCAATCCCCAGTACCAAAATCAATACAAATGGAAAATAATTGAAAAAACGAAGCCAAATTCTATACATCTTTTTTGGGGACAGCACTGCAAATCAAACCCAATGGCTCACACATGCTAAGCAAGCACTCTACCACTGTGCTACACCAAGCAAAATTCTATACATTTCTAAAGCCATAGGGGGAAAAGACCTAATAAGAAAAACAGTCAAAGGGGATGAATAAGTAAGTTATTAAATTAGAAATATGAATGACCAACAAGCCTATTTTTTAAGAAAAGCTCAATCACATTAATATACAACATGATTCTTTGCTTTGAAGCTAGTAAACAACAAAACACCTAGCAGAAGGTCCTTCCTTCCTCCACCTTCATTCTCTCCCATCAAAAAGAATCTGTACTGACAAAGTCAGAGATACACAGGACCCAATTACACTTAGATAATGCTGGCAGGCTGCAAAATGCAAAATACATTGTTAAAAGCATGGGCTTTAAGGGGCTTATTGTATTTTCTATAATATTATAATGTATATACAGTGGACCCTTGAGTTATGAATGGCCTGACATATGAACCTGGGTGATGACCAGAATTTTAATTTAACTTATGAACAAAGTCTTGAGTTTTGACCCAAATGCCAGCCTCTTGTGCCTCCAGACAGTCTCAGATAGAGATTTAACCCTTAAAGAGCTCTGGAAGGCATTACAACATCCTTTCCTGTGTGGGGTTAATTGAGAGATCCTGGGCCAATGTTTCTCTAAGGACACTGAGATATGCCTGGAAGAAAGTGTGACCTAAAATAATACAGCAGAGAGACTTTGAAGGCAACTGACCAACTTGAGTTATAGCCTGCCTTCGCAAATGAATTGAGTTCGTAAGTCAAGAGTCCACTGTATTTTATTTATAATATGAAAAATAATGTAATAAAATTGATAGTTCTTCCAAAATAAATCTAAAATAGAAAATCTGGTTGGTTTCAGAATAAACACTGTAATTTTAATAGCTTTTAATTCCAATAATCTACATTTTTTAAATTCCAGAGCATAGCATTATTTAATTTTTATATATTTTAGAATGAATGAATTGACAATCCAATGCTTTTAAAACATTACAACTCAATGAGCTAGGTGTGGTGGTGTAAGCTTGTACTTCCAGGACTCTGGAGGCTGAGGCAGGAGAGTCATTGTGAGTTTGAGGCCAATGTAGGCTACATAGTGCGTTCAAGGCCAGCCTGAACTATACAGTGAGACCCTGTCTTAAAAAAAACAAAAATAAAAAAAGGCTCAGATCTTCATTATGCATCCCCACACCTGGAAATCTATTCTAACATAAGAAATAGTAACAGACTGCTGTGGTGGTGCACACCTGAGACCCTAGCACTCTAGGAGGCTAAGGCAGGAGGATCACAAGTTTGAGCCCACCTTGGACAACTTAGCAACTTAGTAAGACCCTGTCTCAAAATATAAAATTAAAAAATGGCTAGGAATGTAGCTCAATGTCACAACAAAATAAAACACACACATACACAGACTTATACACACAAATGCACCCAATAGCAGATCTTTTTCCTACTTTCTAGAGTAAAAAAAACGGGAAAAATTTTTTTGTTCTGTTTCCTTTCTACGTTTTTGCTTTTTTGAGACAGGTCTTGCTATGTAGTCAAGGCTGGCCTTGAACTCACCATGTAGCCCAGGCCCACCTACTGGGATTACACGAACATGCGACTACACCCAGGTTGTTTTCTTAAACAGAAGCTAACTGTGCCTATTTTATTATTCTGTTTAACCTTGATGATACTTGTTGCCATTTCATTTTTTTAAATGTTCTTTTCATAAATATCCACAATGTTTTATGACACTAATATTTCTACACTCTTTTTTTCTCTTAAGAAATATGGAAAAACAGGTTATAAAACTTTAATATTTGATAGCATGTGTGTGAGAATGGAGATTTTATTAACTGCTTAGCAAACTCTATCGTCTTTTCCCTCTAAAGTCTGCTTTTATTTCTTACAAAATGAATCCATGGACAACAACAAAAATGATCATCCTCTGGGCAAGGCCTTGGGTTCACCCCCAGAGTACATGGGGAGAAAGATCGTCCTCACGGGGAAGATGAAGACCTGTCCTATAAGGAGTCAGGACTACACTCAGCCTTTGAGAGCCTGGATGAAGCTTTTAGGCAATTAAAAAGATCTGTTTCTGGGCTGGAGATTTAGCTCAGCGATGCTGCACCTGCCTCACAAGTGCAAGG